AGCAGGTCGTTATCTCCCGAGGGTCCCAGACTGCGAGAGGGCACAGGCCGGGCTGGGGGACAACCCCCCCCCCCCGAGTGCACAAATTTTTGTGCACCGGGCCTCTAGTGTATATATACCAAGCTAGCAGTTAGAAACACAGGATTGGAACTAGAGCAACACATGAAGCATAGATTCCCTTATTTCATGGATATTAACATGGATGAATTGACCGTCTTCCATGTTAATATGCCTGAGACAACCTGAGGGTGGGAGATGGTGGTGGGTATAAATTAATTATAGAAATAAAGTCTTGGGATCATAACCATTTAATAGATCATTGGAGTAACAGACATCAGTAACAGAAAACCGAGGGAAATAGGAAGAGGGCAATGGCATAGAAATCCAAAGAGATTTGGATTTAAGATTTTGGTTTAAGATCAACATTATTAAGAGCTGTAGAAGTATTAAGTAGCTGGAGGATTGAAAGTGATGATGGGTTTCTACAACCAGAAAGCCACTGTTGATCTTGGGAGCTTCCTGAGTGGAGACGTGAAAGCAGCATTCAGACTGACTGTAAACAAAGAGTGAAGGAAAAATTTAAGTATAAGACAGAGATGGTGAACTATTTAAAAAAGCTTAGCTATGAAAGGAAGGAGAAATATGTCAGTAATTCAGATGAAAAAAAACAGGGTCAAAAGAAGATTAGTATATTCTATCTAATAAAAGACAAAAAGGGTAATTAACCATACCTCCGCTACGCTTCCCATTGGCTAATCAGGGCGATATGCAAATTAACTGCCAACAAAGATGGCGGCCGGCAGCCACTCAGCTGAAGTGAGCAGGAGGCTTGCTTGCTCCAGTGATGGAGGAAGCCAACGTTCCCCGCCTGCTGTGGCCTGGCTCTGAGCTCTGGAAGCAACAATGTTTCAATTATAGAAGCTAAACAAACCCAAGATACATGCTTTCAGCTGGCCGTGGCCTCAGAGCTGGGAGCGCCAGTGACGGCAACAATGTTTCAATTATAGAAGGTAAATAAATCTCAGAATAAAAAAAAAAAGAAAAAAAGGAGAGGCTGGGAGCTTCAGTTGCTGGCCAGCCTGAAAATGGCCCTCAGCCCCTCACCCAGACTGGCCAGGCACCCGAGTGGGGACCCCCACCCTAAAGGGGGTGTGGCCAGCCTGAAAACAGCCATCAGCCCCTCATCCAGGCTGGCCAGGCACCACAGTGGGGACCCCCACCCTGAAGGGGGTGTGACCAGCTGCAAACAGCCATCAGCCCCTCACCCAGGCTGGCCAGGCACCCAAGCGGGACCCACACCCTGATCCAGGACACCCTTCAGGGCAAACCAGCCGGCCTCCACCCATGCACCAGGCCTCTATCCTATATAGTAAAAAGGTAATATGCAAACTGACCCTAACAGCAGAAAGACTGGGAATGACTGGTCACTATGACACACACTGACCACCAGGGGGCAGACACTCAATGCAGGAGCTGCCCTCTGGTGGTCAGTGTACTCCCACATGGGGGAGCTCTGCTCAGCCACAAGCCAGGCTGATGGCTGCCAGTACAGCGGTGGTGGTGGGAGCCTCCCCCGCCTCCTCAGCAGCACTAAGGATGTCCGACTGCAGCTCAGGCCTGCTCCCTGCTGGCAAGTGGACATCCCCCAAGGGCTGCTGGGCTGCCAGAGGGATATCTGATTGCCATCTTAGGCCCAATCCCCCAGGGGCAGGCCTAAGCCAGCAGGTGGTCATCCCCCGAGGGGTCCCAGACTGCGAGAGGGCACAGGCCAGGCTAAGGGACCTCCTACCCCCGAGTACACAAATTTTTGTGCACCGGGCCTCTAGTTGTAGGATAAGACATGAAGAGACTCAAGATACAAAAAACAGAATAGTATTTGATGAAAAGTTATGGAGGAGAGAACAGAAGGTAATAGTGGAAGTGTTTTTGGAGACTGACCGATAAACATTACTGCAAGTTCTGATAGGTCTGAAACCAAGACAAGGCTGTAGACTGGCAGAATAGGAATGATGCATGCTTATCATATTTCTTGTTTTGATTTCATTATTATATTATAAACTAGAGGCCTGGTGCACAAATTCGTCCACCAGTGGGGTCCCTCGGCCTGGCCGGTGGGATTGGGCTGAAACTGGCTCTCCAACATCCCCTGAGGAGTCCTGGATTGCAAGAGGGTGCAGGCCAGGCCGAGGGACCCCACCAGTGTACCATCGGGGCCGGGGAGGGATGTGGAAGGTTGGCCAGCCAGGGAGGGACTGTAGGAGAGCTCCAGGGCATGTCTGGCCTGTCTAACTCAGTCTCAATTGTCCGGACCCCAGCAGCAAGCTAACCTACCGGTCGGAGCATCTGCCCCCTGGTGGTCAGTGCATGTTATAGCGACTGGTTGACTGCCCTCTGGTGGTCAGTGCACGTCATAGCAAGTGGTTGAGCGGCCTTAGCATATCATTAGCTTATTACGCTTTGATTGGTTGAACAGACAACCGAACACTTAGCATATTAGGCTTTTATTATGTAGGATCCTTTAATTCCTATAGTGTTCAACATAGTGATTCCTCAAATATTCAGATGATGATGACAAGTAAATTTTGAATAAAACCTGAAGTTCTCACTTTAGCCTATTATTGTGGATATATCCCAAGAAAGCCAATATCTTTGTTTCATATAAAGATAAAATCTCCAAATTTTGCCCTCTTATCAAATACTGTTAAGTACAGCCTTACTTAGGCTATATCTCTGTTTTCAACAACAGGCTGATTCCTACCCAAGGCTATTAGCAGATGCCACCTATCCATATAACAATCCAGTAGAAGATTGGTTATTACGAATTTTTCCACTTTGTCAATGAACTGAAACTCAGAGATAGTCTAAAAGTTTATAAGAGAAACAGCATGAAGATGGTTCTGTTAAATATCATATAGTTTTATGTTAAATGACATAATTGTTGCTATACTTAAAATATATACTTTAAAAAATTAATAACATCTTGAAAAGGAATAAAAATGGAGAACATTGGGTTAAAAGCAATGACATTAGTTTGTTTCTAGGATTACAATTTTAAAGTATTCATTATAAATATAGTATCTATTTTAACTTCATTTATTATCAGCTGAAAGTTTCCAAGCATTGTTGTGCAGTAAGTATTCTTTTTTAAAATATATTTTTTATTTATTTCAGAGAGGAAAGGAGAGGGAGAGGGAGAGAGAGAAACACCAATGATGAGAATCATTGATCAAATGCCTCCTGCATGCCTCCTACTGGGGATCGAGCCTACAACCCAGGCATGTGTCCTGACTGGGAATCAAACTGTGAACTACGGGTTCAAAAGTCAATGCTAAACCACTGGTCCACACCAGCTGGGCAGTAACTATTCTTAATTGGGCATTCCACCATATAAAATTTCATATACAAATTATTTACCTTGTAGTTTTCTATTATACCACAAGGGGGCATACATTACATTATAAATCTGCATGGGGAATTGTACAGCAGTTTCAGCACTGAAGTACTGAATTTAATTATACTTTAATAACTAAAAGACAAATGAAACACTATACAAGATATTAATGAAATATTTCTCACAAATTTTTATTCTTAAAATAGCACTTTCTTTCTCTGGAGAGATATATTATATGTATCCAAACATTTTTTCAAATGTGCAAGTTATTCTGAAAACCATGGAAATTATATGTAAAAGAGAATTACCGTCTGACACAATTTTTAGCCGTGTGGAAAACAAGAATCAACATGAGGGCACAGATTCTCATATGGTGAGTCTATACTAGTGCATGATGAATCAAATTTAGATTACTATGATTAAATATTTGTGCTTGCCAATTTAGTAAGCATTTCTAAATTGAGTTTAGCTGCGGGGAGGAGGGAACAACAGACACTAAATTCATGTCACCAGGAGGAGTAGTTAATGGAATTAGTAGTGGGGCATCAAAATTCACCACTACTACTTTAAATAGAGTAACGTCATAAGCCATTTTTTTATAGAGTCCATCTCAGCTGCTTAAATGAAAATTGCAACATAATTTAGTTTGACACATAAATGAACATTTTAAGATATTACATTTTTATTAAAAGGAAAGTGTGTAAAGTGCAGTCTATTAATGAGAACAAGTGTAATATTTTTATGCTCCCATAATTTATATGTAATAACATTTAATGTGCTATTAAAATCAACTGAAAAAAATTAAGTGGTTCAAAATTGAAAAATTAAAATAATCCCTAGTATATGAAAAATCTCCTTTCCATTTCTAACTCAGATATTAGTCATTAAAATTAGAGAAAATTAGCTGTCCCACTTATATAATTCCTAGGTATGTAATAAACTCTTATGAAAATGTATTATGCAAAAAGAACTGCAGTGGGCCATGTAATTGTTTATATACTTTATGGGATGATGTATGTCAAATGACACATTTCAATCTCTGGGGTTGATGATGTCTTTATTTCCTTTTCTTGCATATATCCCAAAAGAAAGAAGTAAACACTTTAAAACCTTGATTCTTTTATCTTATTTTTTTGTTGTATATACTTATCATTTTATAGTTTCTATATATATAAAAGCCCAGCAACCGTTATGGCAGAACGACCAGAATGACTGGAACAACCGGTGGCTATGACGCGCACTGCGGCAGCCAACCAGCCTGATCCGGGCCAGATCGGCCACCCCCACCTCTCTCGGCCCTTCCCCCTGTCTGGCCCCACCTACAGGAAGCATGCAACTGAGTTGTCAGCACCCCTTCTGAGGGGAGATGCCCATCAAGTATCCAGAAGGTATACAGAAGGTGCTCAGCGAGGAGTCCGCACGGGTTGTGTTCGCACTTTCATGCTGTCTTCCCCCACCACCACAATGCCGAAGGAAGCCTGATTCAGGAACCCCGTGCTGACCACCAACATGGAGAAACAGCGTGTGATAAACATCATGTCCCACAGCCGCCTGAATCTGCCTTAAGAGGAAGACACTACAGACCCGGAGCGGGAAGATTGGGACTGAGACAGAAGGTCTGGGAAAGCAGGGCCACGGATGGCCGTGTTCTGCGTTTGCTTCCCGACCCTGCTCCCCGGCCTCCTCCGTGTGCAAAGGGCCTGTATCTCTGTATCACTCAGGACAAAGGCCTGTGAGTGAGTGAAGAACTGTGGCTGTGCCTGTGGCTGCACTCAGCATCCTGCCCTCATGGATGGGAACATATTTATGTGCCAGAATCTAAAACCCTCTTTATCTGTAATAGCGCAAAGAATGCAAACCCAAACGTGTTTCTAAACAGGACTCTGTCCGGCTGCGCATGAACCCAGATTGAAGGCGTGCTCTTTGCTGAGGAGGCTGCAAAGACTGCTATTCTCTCGAACGCAGGCAACCTGGAGAGGTTTAAAGGGAAAAGGAGATAAAAATAAAACAAAATAGCAACAAGCTCTGAAGCCGCTGCCGATGGCATCAAATCCTCCACATGATGGTGATGTCAGAGCCCATCTCCCCACACCTGGGGCTCAGACTGCTGAGCTGCTGACACCTGCCAGGTTGCCTGGCACCAGCCTCATCTACACGGCCACTTTCAACTTTCTGCCAGCTCCTGGAGGTGGGTGGGCTCGTGGATGGAGGCTTCAGTGTTAAAGCAACCCTGTTGGTGTAGCATAGACCCGTGGGCTTTTTGATGAGAGAGAACCCATAACATCCCTTCACAAATGTGTTTTTAACTGTTCTGAGATCACCTCCCAGCCTTGGTGACTCTCAAATAGGCCTCAGCGATTCCACTCACCCGATGCAAAGACTGATCCAGGTTTCAGGAGACTGAACCCTCGACTCCCGGAGCAGCCACGTCCTTTCAAAAGGAAAGTCACCCTGGCTGCAGGTCCTTGCTCTTCGTCACTTTGAATATTTCTTGCCACGCCCTTCTCTACCCAGCAAAGCTCATTTAGAATTGAAGGCCAGATAAAGAGCTTCACAGACAAGAAAAAGCTAAAGGAGTTCATCACCCCGATCAGGGGCAGGGCCAGCCAACCACCTGCGGCCCCTCCCCCCTGCTGGCCTGGCCCATTGGGCCCTCATCAGGGTGGGCCGGCCAGACCCCACCTGTGCACAAATTCATGCACTGGGCCTTTAGTATAAATATAAAAAACTAGAGGCCCTTGGCCTGGTCTGTGGGGATCGGGCCAAAACTGGCTCTCCGACATCCCCTGAGGGGTCCCAGATTGCGAGAGGACAGTTCTCAGGTGACGCACCCCAGAATCAGGCTCCTTCCTCTCTGGTGGTGGGTGCATCACCCGAGAACCACAGCTGCCAAGTCACCGCAGCTCGGCAGCTCCTGAATTGAGCGTCTGCCCCCTGGTGGTCAGTGCGCATCATAGCTATCGGTCGGATGGTCAAACGGTCACTTAGGCTTTTATATAGATAATTTTTCTATTTGAATTGTTTTTCTTTAAATGGAAAAAAATACATTTAACATAATGCAATTTGAAACAACTAAGGAAATTTAAGGAAGATTAGCTTTTTAAATAGTTTTATCTAGAAGTTACCTCACAGTTTTCCCATCTTTCCATTGAGCCCTTTCTAAAACTACCTAAAATTTAAGTGTATAAGGAAAAACATTTAAGCACACCTATTTTAAATCTTTCTAGGCTTTAGTGTTTTCTCTCTTGCCCATTACTTGGAGAACCATTTATATAAAGAGCAACATATACTGAGCAATCTGAACTTTCTTGTTTTACTAGTAATTGCTAATGAACACAAATTGCTGCATGCATAAAAAGGATTTTGTTTTTAAGTTTAAAAATGTTTTAACAATAAGTACATAACCTATGATATTGAGCAACAGAAAGAGCATTGATTATGAAGAGGAAAAACCTGCTCACCAACTGGCTGTGTGATCCAGAGGAGGCCCATTCAGCTCTCCAAATCTCATTTGCATATCTTTAAAAAAGGTGTCACCTCACATTGTCAAGTACTATAAAAACGTCCAATGACTGTATTGTACACCTGAAACTAACATGACTAATATAATATTATATACCAACTCTACTTAAAAATGATGTATACAACATTCTTAGCCTTCTCTGAGTTGCTTATTATAACCATCACTTTTGAGACATGTTACTTATGAAGTAAAATTGATTTTTATTACTGACTTTTCAAAACAAAAAGACATCACCATCACTGTTGTCATCATCATCATCATCCTCATCATATTTGCCCTAACTAATCTATAGGATTGTTGTGAAAATTGCAAAAAGCATGTGTCTTATAAATTATTGTCATGCAAGTGTAAATAATGATTATTGAAATATAATGATTTTCATCTAAGGACATGATTATACTGACTAAATGTACTTAACTATGTAGTTAATTGTGCTTAACTTAATGTAGTGATCTATCTGAGTGTTTTTCTTTTAAACAAATAGGATACTGTGAGATCTTCAGGACATGATTGTTCTGGTTATGAGGTAGGCAACCTTCAATGTAGATTCTGCTTTTCTGACAATCAGCCAGTTTTTGTCACTCTTGGTGCACCAGAAAATGGAATCTGACTGCTGTACAGCTTGGATTGAACTGGAAGGGGCAAAATGTCAACACAAGAAAAGAATGTATCTCTTTAGAATGGGACCAGTCCCTAAATTTCTGTGCCTTTTTCCATTTTTTGGGGACTAAGGGCACAGTTCCAACCTTTTCTAAGCTCTATGTCAGCTCTATAGGTGTAATTCTGTGAAGAGATTAAAACAGATTTTAGCCTATCAGATTTCTTGCTCTCCCTTTTCTCCTCCCATTACCTTATAATATAAAGAATATAAAAGGTAGTGTAGCCACAGTGCTGCTAACATTGCTGGTTGAGCTAACTGATTCAGTGCTTGATTGCATCGTTTAATGTTGTGCCCCAGTTTCAGGTCATTTCTCCATTATTAACCTAAGGCAGTTCAGTTGAGTATTTATTCATTAAATAGGGGAATATAAAAGATATACTTGTATTCATTCTATTACTATTATGCTTTAGTAGATGATTTGTGGATTTATTTCTATAGCCCTTATCCTTTAATAATGTTAAAAAGGTCCATAAGAGCATATTTTGGCCACTGTAAAATATTTTTAATATATTTATAAGCATTGGAGTATAAACATAATTATTTAATTTGTTTCCAAAGTGTTGCTATAAAATTGATGGGGGAAAAAGAATTCTGTGGGATATACACATTAGGATACTCACAAAATGGCTGTTGGTTCTATTTAAGAATAAGACATTTCTTTTCCCTGCTGCTAGAACCCATTTCTCCTTTCAATATCCTTTTAAGCTGATACAGACACAGGGTTTCCATCAACTTTGACAAATAGTACACTTTAATTAGTTCTGTGGATTGCAGAACCAGACCACTGGATTGAGTTCTCACTCTCCCCTTTGCTCACTAACAAAGCTGGATTTGCTAGTTGTCACATGATAATAACATAGCTCTTTAAAGAAGGTGGATTCAATCTCAATTAAAATGCTGTAGACTCTTTACAGGATAGTTGCAGCTGTCCTAAAGTACAAATAGTTTTCTGAAAGCAGGGAAACAGGCAGAGTTTACATTAAAATGTGATTAGCAATCTTATCCTGACTGCTTTAAGTGCCTGGTATGCCAAAGGCATTCTCTAAATTTGGGACATTTTGTACTTTACTATAATTGGAAATGGTTACTAGGAATTGGGTTAGCCTGAGACACAGGTTCTTTAAAATTAGGAGCATTATCCTATGATTCATGTCCTACTATCCAAGCAACACATTTGTATTGAGAGGTCCTTTCAGGGCAATGTCAACCATCCCAAAAATGGCTGAAAACAAGAATGGAACTAAAAAAGCTGTCTCTGAGCAGCCAGAATAGAGCCCAGGCTTTCAAGCCCAGCTCAACACAGAAGCTGCCCCCTGGTGGTCAGTGCACTCCCACAGCCAAACTCCTGCCTGGGCCAACCTCTCATGGTTCCTCCCCATGGCCAGCTGGCCCCAATAAGGACTGGGTGAGATGGTCCCAATGGGCCCAGATTGCTGGCCAGGCCAAGGAACCCCACCCGTGCATGAATTCGTGCACTGGGCCTCTAGTTTCTGTTATAAAAGAGAACTTGGTCAGACCCTCAGAGCTTGTGTACTCAAATTTGCATAGAATTCAAGCTGATGTGACCCTTTGAATTCTCAGACAACAAAAAATTAACAATACTTTTTTAGGTGGGCGTCCTAAAATAGGCATTGTACAACTGACACTGATAGCCACTGTTGGAGGAGGTAATCTAGAGGACTTGACCTCCAGTCGACCTTGGGCAATCAGAGCTTCTCACCCCTCCTCTGTCCTTGGAATATATATTCTCCTCACTGTTCCCACAATGGGAGCCCTTTTCAAGGATGTGACCTTGACAAAGCAATGTGTTGTTCAGACCATCTGGATGGTATACATGACTGAACCCAGTTAAGACCTCTATGTGAACTTTAAGATTCTGGTGGTGGATGTGATCTACTCTTCTGGTGGCCCTTCAAGACAAGCTTGGTAAGTTGCCTTGCTTATTAAACCTGCCACCTTCAATCTGAAGTTGTCTGCCTCATTCTTAGGTCTCTCCCACCCTCTCTGCACAGGGGCCAGTTTGCTAAGCAACGTAGCCCAAAACTGGACAGGACATTGAGAGGGGAGATGAAAGAACTATAGGAAGTGGTCAGAAAGTAAAAAAAATAAAAATAAAAGGAGAAAGGAAGGGAAGGGGGGAAGGAGGAGGGAGAGGAAAGGGGCAAAAAGTTCTCTGGAAGTCATTTAATGCAGTGCTCAGTGCTTTTCAAACTAGGGTAAAAGATCCCTCTTAACATTTTTTGTTAGTTTCCAAACTGTCGTAGACTGGTAGTTTTATAAACTACAATAATAATGAATTACCAAAAATAAAAACATAAAAATGCAATCATAATTTTTTTTTGTTAGGCAAAATATATAAAATTAACTCTGTCAACTTGTTATAAAAGTTTCTCAATGTGTATTCTTTATTTCTGTATAACAGTTTGCTGATGGCACTTATCTGCTAACCACACCTGAGTAAGACTGATTTGGATATATAGTGTAAAGGCAAAGAACTCTACGCCACCTAATAGCTTTGGTTTTTGATGATGTACATGATGATTGCATGAAATCACATAGTCATCACTATTATACCCATTTATTCAAGTTTGGCAAATATATGTGTGTATTTTTTTTAAAGAAAACACACAGGGAAGAAACTTGAGCAAGATTTCCATGCAAATGCTTAAAATGTATAAAATGCACAAGGATAAATCAGCCTCACTTACCTGGAAAATTCACAGGTGTAGCAAATTCATCATTTGCTCTTGATTATGCCAATGCCCTTCACCCAAAGCCCAGCAGGACTGCACATGCATTTTAAGCAAAGTGGGTTTATTATTTGTTGCAGAGAGAGAACACATGCCCAAGGACCCACAGGCTATTTTAGTAAGAAGGTGTTAGAATGAATCTATTACAGGATTTGGACTTTGTTTGGGTGATTGGGGAAAGCTATAAAGATTTGATGCTGCCAGAAAGTAGGGACAATTCTGTTTTGAGGGTGGCACACTGACTTTTGCCTGTGCTTAGCAAAACTTCATCATGTAGCTTTGTTTGTTCATGTATCATGTTCTCAGAGTACTGCTGTCTGAGGTTGATATTCTGTGAGTTTATATCCAACAGGAAACAAAATGACCTGGTTGTGAGCGTCAGAGCAGCTTGTAATTATACTGATGTCAAATCAGTTCCAGACATCAGAGGCTGCTTTCATTCTTTTTCAATGATGAGTAAAAATGGTATCATATAAAACTGGAAATAAAACTTAAATCTTGTTCATTGTCCAAAATCCTAATCTTTGCTTTCCCAAAGGCTTTGGGGAATTTTTCTCTGGTGATGGTGCATAGGTTTGTTAACAAGATCTTTTGACCTAAGTGAATAGTTTACGTAGCCATGCAGTGTACATTATGGGGAAAAAAAGTGTTTTAAATTAATTAGTCAAGCCCACTACAAGTTTCAAAATATATCTACTTACATATTGATCCTGAATAAGTTTGCTACATGAGACCATCAGGCACCATGGCTGAGACATCTAGAACAATTTGGGAAAAGAACTTCATTTTTATGGGCTCCATTTTTTGGGTGGGCAAAACTGCAAAGCAGGAAATTGAGTTACTTGGATAAAAAATAATGCATTTACTAGTCAGTATGTCTCAGTCTGATGTCTTACACTGTTTTAAAATAAAGCGTTTCTGTGCAATGTTTTTACATTGTAAACAATGACTTGTTTCCATTTGCTTCTCTGAATGATTGTTCCCAAGTGTAAGTAGCAAAGTGCAAAGATTTTATCTCACTCGTGCCTTTTTCTTCACTGTCTGAGTTCCTGACATGAAGCTGATCAGTACACATCTATGGGACTTAAACAGCCTACTAGAACTTGACATGTCTTAGCTTAGCATTTATGTATGAACTTCTGGCCTTCTATCTTAAGAAAGTTTTCTTTAAATTATACTGTAGTCCTGACTTTTATATGACAAGTGAGAATTCTAAATTCCTTTGGAAACAAGTAGAGTCTCTTTAAGGATTTCTTTTGAGCATAAAAGAGTAAAATACCAGCTAAGTTAGCAATTTGAGTACATATCATAGGTTGTGTATTTGAATCTTTACTGTTGACAGAAATTCAGTGAGAATGCTATGTTATCGTTATCTAACAATAAAGTCAGGTTTCCTTAAACAAATTACTTTAATAGACCAATTCAATCTATAAAACTGTTAGCACTCTAAGAAATAAACAAACTAAAACCAGCCTTATTTGTATTCTGAATTTGTAGGCTTTTAAAACACTTTGCAGATATTGACTGTGTCCAGCTAGGCATGTATTTTGGTCCATAAAGTAGAAATCCACATTTTAAAACCTAGTTTGTTGGTTGATCGTTGTTCAGACTTTCCCTGGTCCCCTCCTCCTTGGGTGTCATGGACAGATAAGTCATATAGAGTCTAAGAAGCATGATTGTGTCTAATAGTTTTTTCCTTAATTAATTTTGTTATACTATAGACTTGATGTCTTTGAATACCAGGGTCCCATATGAACAATATTAAGACATTACATTCAGGTTAACTTGAAAAATTGCTCCATTTGGTGAAGTATGAGGTGTAATAAAATATGCCTTCTCACTCACATATTTAAAATTTATTTTATGTTTATTCAAGTCAAATAATTCTTTCCCCGTATATTTTTGTATTTTAATTTCAGGAACATTTGCAAGACAATCAGAAAAGCTATGAAGTTAACAATCTGCTCTGGCACTGTATTGCTGTCTGGACTTGTGTTCAGAAAAATAGTCCTCATTTGAATAACGTGCTTGAACATCTCACTTTTCATAAAACACAGCTTCAAAACAAATGCTGGTAAGAGGGCGTATATAAATCCAAAATAACTCATGGAGAAACCTTTGTGTTTAAATGTTAAATAACCTTTGTACTTAAATGTTAATCACACCTTAGTTGACTATGAAAAAAAATTTATAATCTGAGTTCCAAAGACAAGGGCAATTTATATATTTTGCATTAGTTCAGTTCATTAATAAATTGTTCCTATTTTTTGGAGGGGGGCTAGATAACCATGCATGTATTACAATTTGTCTTTGTTTAATGAAACCTATTATTAATAATTCCCATACTTAAAACATTTTTTATTTTCCAACTTGTTAAACAACAATGAAGTACAGTTTATTATTTTGGGGGGAAAAGATTGTTTTGTTATGCCTTACTTGTACAACAAAAGTGAATCTTGACTGATAAGTGTTAGTTTCCTCCTGTACAAATGTGAATTTAAGAAGGGAAAAGAAGTCTTAAATTACTACAAAACAGGGCATGGGTTCAATGGAGGAGAGAAAAAATGTAAAGGAGTATTTCTGAGGAAATTGATCAGAGATACCCCTTTCAATTATTTGAGGATGATCAGAATTCCTTTTCCAATGCTAACAATAATAATAATCTGCTATTCCATAGCAAGTTACAAATTAAATTGTCATATTTTTTTCTTTAAATTACTTCCAGTTTTTAAGCCTCTGGCAGCCCACTCTGTACCAATGGTCTCTGTATATGTAAATTATAAGAATTAAGAGCCTCCTGTATGAACCAAAGCTGTTTTCTCAGTTTCATTTGGAAGTTTTGGGGAATCTAGATCAAGTAAAGATTTCTGGAGGATGGCTTAGAGTTTGTCTAATTTCCTAGAAATAGCCTAGTCTAGAAGAGAGTTCATAAAGAACTTATTCCATCTCATAGTGTGATGAGAACAACCTACTCACTATTGCAGTTAACAAAAATCATGATTCTTTTATATTTCATTTATTTTTAACTTTATTGTTGACACTATTACAGATGTCCTCATACACTCTCCCTCTTTGCCCACCTCAACCCAGCCCCTGCCCCCCCCCTTCCCTCTGGCCATCACCACACTGTTGTCTGTGTGTCATGCATATATATTCTTTGGCTAATCCCTTCACCTTCTTTTATCTAGTATCTCCCTTCCTAGTGAGGCTAGCATCTTTAAATAGGAAAATCAAAATGCAAATAGAATATATGTGTGGAGAGCGGCTACAGCGTTTGGACAGGTTCAAGCCTCAGACTAATGAGAGGGCATGGTCCTCTCGTGGCAAAGCCACGTACAGGTCCCAGCTTTGAGGGCAAAGCCCTCACAGCACAATTATAGCCAAAGGCTATGGTGGTAAGCTTGACCTTATGGTCCGAACCTGTGGTCCCAGGTGGCTGAGTGATGTAGGCTGATAGAGTTCTCAGGTGCATGTAATTAAGTAGATTTGAAACTCGAGAGAACATTGTAAACATCTTGACCACTCCCTTGCTTTGCCTCCTGGGATCTGACTATAAAATAAAAACTCGGCTTGGAGGCTGTGGCACTGTCTCTCCATCTAAGAAGTGTCCCACCTGGCCCCAACTGTCTTATCTTGTCTGTCTTCTTTAATCCTTCACCCCCCCCCCTCAGGTTCACCACTGATCATGCTGGACATGGTTCAATATGTTATATCAATGATATAGAATATAATTTTAATAAATATGTATTAATATAGAGCTGCTAAATGTAAGAAAAGTTAGAGAGTTTTATTGGTGCAAATTAGGCTGATTCTTGTCAGACCAATCTTATTATAGAAAGCAAATTGTAGGGGAATCAAACACAATTTATTTTCAAAGGACAAACAACTAGCACTACTTTAGCTCTTGGAAGACTCTAACTTGGTTTTAAAAACAAGTTATATTTTAACATAAAAAAGTAAATATTGTATGACTTTGCCAAATTTATTTTCAAAGTATTCTAATCATTACCATGTAAATAGGTTCAAATAAGTGCTGAAATACTAAAAGTGGCTGATTAAGAATATCTGATTAAGGAATTGTTAAGTCAAGGAATTGTTCCTTTAACCAATTTTCAGTTTTATTATATTGCATCAACATTGATCTAATTTACTTTGTTAATGATTTGTCTTTAAGGCAGTTCTTTTTTTTATACTTAGTATTTTATAGATTTGGGTATGTTGAATTTAATACAAAACTTTTTACTTTACAAATGAAGAAACTGAGACTAAGTTTATTAGGCTTACTAGTGGCTGGAGCCAGATTTTAAGGGTCCCAGTGTAGCACTCTTCTTAGTCCATCATCCCACTGTCATTCTGGCTGTATTATTAAGGAGAGAACTGCTCTGGGCACCTGGTCGCTGAAACCTGACTTCTTTTTTCTGGGAGGGCATTGTGGAAATCAATTGAGGGAGGGCATGGCAATATTTAGACAATGCTGAATAAACAGAGGGGTAAATTGAAAGATGGCAAAACAGAGTGACTGTTTATAATAGAAAGGACAAGATACTTGTTTTAAAAAGCACTGACAGTTTTGATCCTATTTCGTATATTTACTGTTTTTTTAAGAAAACGATTTGATCTTTTCTTAAAAAACAGACGACTCTTGAAACAAAAATAACCCACTGACATTAGGAGATTAATGTCTTTTTAAATGAACAGTTTGACTAACTTTTCCATTAGTAAAATATTCTGTTAGTTATACTAACATTAAAATATTAAAAAATAACTTTTATTCTTACAAAGTATTTATGTTATTTATGTAATAGCCTAAACTGCTTTTAAAAAGTAAAGAGATCAACCGAAGGATTTGTATGCATGCATGTATATAAGCATAACCAATGGACACAAGACACTGGGGGATAGGGGAGACCAAGGGAAGGTCAAGGGGAGAAAAAAAAAGGAGACATATGTAATACTCTTTGTAATACTTTAAGCAATAAAACAATTTAAAAAAGTAATTATTCTAGATAAAACAAAACAAACTGTGATATAATTATCAAAATCAAATCAGAAAAGCCTTTACATGGTCTCACATACTCCTAGAATTGGGAACATGTGACAATGAAGAAAATGAACTAAGTATGCTTAGAATGAAATAGAAATGTTGGGGCATCAGACCTTGATAGTAAATTAAGACTTTGTCAGAATTTGCTGGACCAGATAGCCTTAGAATTGTGACATGTGGCAGAAGATATCTTTGGTTTAGTACCTGAAGTTCAAGGCCAAGTGAGTATTAACAGGAGCAATTTTATTTTACATGTAAAATACTATGTAAAATAAGTACCATAGCGATGAATAAATGTTCAGAGATTTAAAATGCAGAGGGAGACCATTCAACTGATCGATTAGAAGAAATGCTATTAATATTGGCAAAAATTGCTGGTGTCCATACAGGTGAGTGGTTCTCCTCTGCCCATTTCTGCCCTCAGTGGGTATCCCATCATGCATGTGCCTGCCAGACTTCTCTTAACCCCTTTTATAAAGATCACACAACTCAAACGGAAAGAAATGGAAGCATGTGGTTTCAGCTAAGCCTGAATCCATGAAATGACTCAAAGGAGGACTCAGAATTAGAGCAACCTCCGCTCTATGGGGGTTGGGCGGGGGGAACAAGGAAAGGAAGTGCACTGAAGACAATAAATTATAAACCGGGGTGAAGAAGTAGAGAAAAGGAGAATCCGTGAGCCCCTCCCAGCTGCCATGCACCAACCTTTACCTTGGAAGTTTAGCAGCCCTGAACTGCAGATAAGCAGCTTGCTGTAAAGCAGATTTCCATTTAATATGGTTACACTTTATATGACGCTTCATCCTCTCAATGCTCCACCTTGTGGTTTGGCCTTTTATAAACTGCCCTATTTGCTCTGGTGAGATAGCTCAAGCCAGTACAAAGGGCTTTCTAATCCAACATGAAAATAATGAATTGTGTTTATAATTGAATTATTAGCCAATGATGATTGCTAAGAAGTGCAGCATGGCATTTCAGTAGAGCAGTATAAAATAAAATTATATCTCCAAAAGCAAAATAGCCGATTTAATTCGCCCCATGCATGTATTCCAAAATAAGCTTAACAATTTAAAATTATGTTGACATAGTGAGTGTTTTTCAGATGTACAGTATTTGTGTTTGCATCGACATGAATCGATCAAAGAATCAACTGCTTTGCATAGGCAAGAAGCCTTTTACTTCTGGCTAGATAACTGATATCCACATTGTCTTTATGATCCTCAGTGATTATTATGTTTATGTGACAGTCTAACAGCATTCAAACAAAGTTTTCATTAATAATGTTTCTCATTATTCATGAGGTAAGATGCCAATGTAGGTCCACTTTTCTAATTTATTTCCTGGATTTCTTATTGATCCTTTGATCCTCTGAGTTAAATATAAACATTTAGTCTCTATCTAGGGTAAATATATCAATTATGCTTTGCTGTATTATAGTACAGTGAAAAAAATTCAACTTTAGATCAGAAGACCTGAGTTTGAGTTTTAGTTCTGTTTTTTGCTGCCTAATTTTGAATGTCACATAACCCCTCTGAACAGTCTGTTTAGCAGTTAAATAGAAATAATAGTCACCCCAAAGGGCTTTGGGGGTATTTAAATAAGATAAGTAATATGAAAATACTTTTGATACACTCATCATCCCATAATATTTCATTTCCTGATAGTTCATATCTGAATTAATTTTTTTTCCAGATGGAGTCCTGCCTAAAGAATTTCCATCTCAGTACCTGACACATGTCTTCTGCTCAAGTTAACCAAATTAGACAGCTTAGCCACTACATTTCAGAACTGTCCCCTGCTCTCTACTGCCACTGTCACAATCTTGGTTTGGGCCATTATTGTCTCATGACTCTTGTAGCTTATTAATTGATTTCTTTGCCTTAATTTTTCTTCTCCATAATCTGTCAAAGTCTGCTGCCAGGGCTGCAACATAAATGTGATTATACCATTCTCCTACTTAAAATTATTTAATAAGAACTATTTTTCCTGGCACAGGGGTTGCAGCCCAAATTAGGGTCTCACAACTTGACACAATTTTAACAAAAGAACAAGAGTTCCTGCCGCTGTAATTAATTACTACCAACACAGTCAGAGAAGTGCCTAGTAGAGCTGAATGGAAGAAAATAATCAGTGGCCTACCTATGCCTTCTCTGACGAGACAGAAGTCATCGCCTATATTCTCCACATTCTTCTCTGGAGCTTCAAAAATGAAATTCTGTAAGCAGGAGAAAGAATCCTTTTAGCAGACATGCTAAAGCCTGGCTTTTCATATAGTCCATCTCTTCTGGGTATCAAAAATTAAGCACTGGCAAAATAAATACAGTCTTTAAACTAGTTTTCCTAAATGTTCACAGTCAAGAATGAAATGCTGACTGCCCTCTTCTCCATGTTCAATGAAGATTGAGACTAATCTATAGATATAAAGAGCCAGGGTCCATAACATCCACAATGACCTAAGGTTCCACCGAACACCCGAAGTCAGTGCTGGGTTGCCATGGCGCAGCAACCCAGCCCTGACTGCTGAGGGGTCTTCGGATCAGACCCAGAGAGAGGCCTGCAGAGACAGAGGCAGGGTCTGATCCGCAGCCTCCATGGCAGCTGTTGATCAGCAGTTGCCTCTCTCTTTCTCTCTGGGCTTTGCCAGCGATCCACGCCTCTGTTTCTCTCCAGGCCTCCGCCGCTGCTGATCAGCCCTGCCTCTTTGATCAGGCCCAGAGATAGGCCTGGAGATGCTGACTGGCATAGAAGCCGACCAATCAGAACCAAACCTGGGTGAAGTGCCAGTAGCCAGTGGCTGCCTAGCAGGCAGAGCTTTTGACGCTGACTGGCATAGAAACCGACCAATCAGAACCTAATCTGGGTGAGCTAGGAAGTCAGAACCTAAGGTGTGGGCTGAGGAGGGGTTTTAAGGGCAACAGCTGTTTTGTATAAGGTGTAAGAAATCGTTTCAATTTTTTAATGACCAGTTTGGCAGTATAGTACATATGGCTGGCTATCAGTCCAGATATAGGGGTTATGTATTTTTGTCTGCCAAGAGCATCTCCTCCTGCTGAAAAAGGCTTTTCCCCCCATTTAAGCAATCCTATCCTATATAACCTATCTATACTAAAAGGGTAATATGCTAATTAGACTGGGTCGACCGGCCATCTTCCAGACGTCCAACTTCTTTCCGGACAAAGTCATGGTGGTGGGGGCCAAGGCAGAGGCAGTTAGGGGCAATCAGGCCGGCGGGGGAGGGCAGTTGGAGGTGAGATCAGGCTGGCAGGGGAGGGCAGTTAGGGGTGATGAGGCAGGCAGAGGCAGTTGGGGCGATCAGACAGGCAGGCAGGTGAGTGGTTAGGAGCCAGCGGTCCCAGATTGCGAGAGGGTTGTCTGATTGGAGAGGGTGTAGGCTGGACTGAGGGAACCCCCTCTCCCCCGTGCATGAATTTCGTGCACTGGGCCACTAGTCCTATATAATAAAACCCTAATATGCAAATCGACCAAATGGCGGAACAACCAGTTGCAATGATGCACACCGACCACCAGGGGGTAGACGCTTAATGCAGGAGCTGTCCCCTAGTGTCAGTGCGCTCCCATAGGGGGAGCGCTGCTCAGCCAGAAGCTGGCTAGCACAGCAGCGGTGGTGGGAGCCTTGCCCACTTCTGCAGCAGCGCTAAGGGTATCTGATTGATGGCTTAGGGGCTTAGGCATACTCCCCTCAAGAGGGCGCAGCCCAGGCTGAGGGACCCCTGCCTCCGAGTGCACACATTTTGTGTACCAGGCCTCTAGTTTATTTATATCTGTCCTCCCCTTTCTGGCCTCTTAATCTAAATTTGAGTTTCTCTTTCTTTTTTAAAAAATATATTTCTTATTGACTTCAGAGGGGAAAAAAAGGGAGAGAGAAATAGCAACATCAATGATGAGAGAGAATCATTGATTGGTTGCCTCCTGGGGATCGAGCCCCCAACCCCAGCATATGCACTGACTGGGGATCAAACTGTGACTTCCTGGTTCATAGGTCGATGCTCAACCACTGAGCCATGCCAGCCAGGCTAAACCTGAGTTTCTGATAAAATTATGGTTAAATCATTATTTAAAATGTCTATCTCCTCCTTATAGAATGATTTATGTATTTATGATTTATGTATTAAATTTATTTTTGGATCATATTTATAAAATTATGTTGATTTATTATAATGTATCTAGTTTTTCTACTCATTGTCAGCTATTTAACAGTATTTTCAATTCCTAAGTTCTTAAGTACTATTCATTTCTAGGTTGGCTAAAATGTGACTCTTTCCTGCAGATTTTTATCATAAACAGTATGAACCAATATTTGTTTTTTTTGTAATTAAAATTTATTGGTAGATGAATATTATATTTGTGAAGCAATACTAGTCTTTATTGAAAGTAATGTATCTTGCAATCCAAGGTATTCCTCTCTTCTGGCCAAATACTTTTTTTTTCATTAAAAACTTTATTGTACATTAAAGTCTGTGTTTTGTTAATAACATTTTTAGGATGGATTCTGCACTGGCTTTGTTGGTCCTTGGGGAGGCTGCCAAATTAAACATGGCCTGCTTGAAAACTTTAATGGACATAATGAGAGATTTTCTTTTAACCATTATGTCTGTTCAGAATCAGGTAACAGTATATTTATTAATTTTGGTGTGTAAAAAAGACAAATAGAAACAAAAAAAATTTGGTACTGTTTAAATTGTATACCATATTATGGCTTATAATGAGCATAACTTTGAAATAATAATTTTAATTAAATATAGAACTAAATTCTTATTTACCATATATCCCAGTATGGATTGATAGATATAGATGTAGATAGAAATAGAGCTATAGAAATAGATATGTCTTGACACATACACACACACACATACATGAGAGGGACTTTAAATTTTATTAAACTTGAAATCATATGGTTATATATGATTTAGTTTCCCCTTTAAAAATATTTAAAACATATCTAAAACATTTTTTGTTGTAGTTAATCCTCACCTTAGGATATTTTCCATTGATTTTTGGGGAGAGTGGAAGAGAGAGGGAAAGACAGAGAGAAACATCAGTGTGAGAGGAACACATTGATTGGTTGTCTCCTGTGAGCCCTGACCAGGGAGGAGCCTGCAACCAAGGTACGTGCACTTGACATGAATCAAACCTGGGACCCTTTGGTCCGCAGGCCGATCCTCTATCCACTAAGCAAAACCAGCTAGGACTCTAAAACATTTTTATTGTTGTTAGGCTTTATTAAAATTTACATTTTAGTGGAGATGTGATCATTTAATCATTTATTGTTAAGCACTGAGTTTGTTTATAATTAATCACAATTAATTACAAATGATGTTAAACAGATTCTCATATATAAAATCTTAATTTTCATTTATGACTATTTCTTTAGAATAGCTTAATAAATTACACTTTTACATTCTTAGGGTAGATGTCCAAATTTCTTTCCAGAAAATATGTTTCTTCCTTTCCTATGAAAAATGTGTAAAAGTGCCATGGTTGTTGTTGTTTTTTTCTGATATGACTCACTTAATTTCCTTTCTGAGCAAGGTCAGATTAATGTATCTTAAATTATCTTAAGATTTGATAAGCACACACTCCAGAGAATCTTGTCTATTCAGGACTAAAATTTAGAATTGAGCTTTACATAAAAATATTCTTTTAAAATATGATATGGATAATAGTATCTCATTGGATTAATTTATATTCCATTGATTACTAATGAAGTTGAAACGTTCTGCATATACTAGTTAGCTGCTTGTATTTTATATTCTTTGAATTAAATTTTATGCATTCTATCCATGTAAAATCTGCCTCTTAATAAGTACATTTAGAAATATTAGATTATATTCTTTTAACAACTCTATAAAATTTGAAGATATTTCTTATAAATACAGTATATTGTTCTTGTTATAACAGAATATGTTTGGATTATCTAATAGCTATTTCCTTATTTTAGAAAGAAAATGGCTCTGTTGATTTTTCCTGGGCCTGGATTATTGTCTCCATCTATATAACAATTCTTACAGAAATTTGTTTGTATGCAGCCATTTCTAATTTGAGAAAAACTGCTTTTATTGGTTTCTGTGACTGTAAAAGTTCAAAAAAATATATTTTACCATTGGACAAACCAGAAGAACAGCCAGAACTGAGGGAAACAAGTTTTTTAGGCCTTTTGGACTATTTCTCTTCAAAAATGTCAGATAATTGTAAGTAAATTATTTTTGGATTTGATAAGAAATATTTAAAAAATGTCTTCCTTTCACAAAATGTTAGCATTTTAAAGTTGGAAATAATTTTAAATTCAGTAGGGCTTTCTATAAACTTAGGAATATTTTATAAAATGGAAATTTTTGATCAATAATTTAAAAACAACTGAAATATAGAGTCAGTTGATTTATGATTCAAATTATATTCCTTGAAAACAAAAGTTGATCTGGGCAAACTTATGAAATGTGCATAAGTTTGTTTTTTTCTTTTTCACATAAGGACTTCTCATCTATCTTCTCTAGGCATCGACTGTTTCTCTTGTTCTTTTCCCACCCAGAAAATTTCTCTTCAATATATAACATAATTTAGTACATTCTTCACATATGTGATCTCATACTCTATCAAAATATACCAGTTTGGTGTCTCAAGACTAAAGGTTGTTTTGCTACTGTTGTTTATGGGGCTATAAAAATAAAAAACTTTTATTTTTAAAATGGTACTATAGGGACAATATACATTCAAAAGTGTCCTTTTAGGTTGACTAAAACTTTTCTTTATGAATATGGTTGTAGTAGGTGTTATTATGGCCTGTTATGTATATGACTCTCACTTCCATTAAATTATGAGATAATTAAGACTGGAGAATCATGTCTGATTTATATTTATATTTAACCCAGCATATAGTATAGTATTTGGCATATAGTAGATGATCAATTAGTCATAGTGGATTTATTATGTAATTAAACAAATTACTAAATTTAAAATATAATTGCAAGATTTTTGCTTCTCTACACTATCATAATATTCTAGGCCCAAAGACCTTGCATCATCTATCCCCTATGCTGGGTACAGTTTCCCCCATTTCCTTGGATGGTTAACTAGTTTTCATCAGATCTTAGCTTGAATATCATCTTCTCATGGTGGTCTTTCTCTCTATGTCCATAGTAGTTTTCTTCTCCTAGTCATTGTTGGTCACATTACCATCTTCTATTATTTTTTTTAAAACTCATTATGAACTGATATTGTTCTGTTTACTTTCTTAACTAGATATTGTGTCCTGAAAGTAATAACATTGTCTTTTTCTTTTTTAAAAATATATTTTTTTATTGATTTCAGAGAGGAAGGGAGGGGGAGAGAGAGATAGAAACATCAATGATGAGAGATATCGTTTGGCTGCCTCCTGCACACTCCTACTGGGGATCAAGCCAGCAACCTGGACACATGCCCTGACCAGGAATTGAATGGGACAGGCAAGTTGAAAATCTTTCACATGTGTTCAATCACTAGAACCACAATGGCTGGGAAACTTTTTTTTTTCTTTGTATATAGGACAGTGGTTGCCACATAACATTGACTTATTAAATACTTGTTAAATGTCTGGCTTGCTGACTGGTTCTTGTCCATTGGTTTCTTGGCATTGATCTAGTTCCTTCCACTTTACATCATGGCATTTCATAAAGACAATGTTTTAAACAACATCTTACATTCAAGTTACCTTTCAGTAATACATTTGAATTTGTGGTGTCAAATTAGACTTGTCAAAATTATAAAGGCTGTATGTAATTTATATTCATTTATATAAATGGAAATATTCATATTTTATAATCACTGTATATGTGAAATGTAAACATCTAGACTGGAAATTAAAGGCTTCCAAGGAATTCAAACACTAAAATAGAGCTACAACAAAAAGAATCATAATATTGGTTTTCAAACATCACCGTTTCTTAATAAATTTTCAAGATTTATTAAGAATTTTATTTTGGTTCAGCTTTGTTACTGTCTGCTTAGCTGCAAAGAGACACATTTTCTCTCAGTATATTTAAAGTGACATCTTTGATAGCTGCCACAGGGTCACTCAAAGCAGAACAGAAGAGTGCCTTATGCTACAGCTTGGTCTCTGGTTGAAGAGTTTCATAGCAGGCACGCTTCTAGGCAAATGTCTAGATGTGCATGTTAGAATGCACTCTACCTTTTATGACAGCTGTAACACATCCCATCTGTTTTTAGAAGGATTTTTTTTCTTTGTTAACTGTCAGTCAATTGGATGTAATAGATTCTTCCACCAAATATTATTCATAATCAACAGGTGAACTGCTCACTTTTAAAATCAATGGCATTTTAAAATTTTTTGAGTTTTGAGAACAGTTCTCAGAATATATTTTATGGGCTCATCACTGGTTTTGTGGAGTCTAAAAGCAAACCATATTCAGTTCAATGATTCAAATATTGTAGGCTTATAAATATTGTTCCTCCATAAAAAATAATTTAAAGTATATTAAGGAAAGTGGTTTGGATATATTTTTATTAATCATTCGTTTTAATGTAAAGAATTTGGGAGCCTATAAATAAATTTATAAATTGGTTAAAATCCACAGCATTTTTACTTATCGTATTGTTCAAAAACTACTTTTTTATTTCAGAGTTTCATAATTCCTCAGTTATTAGATACTCATTATTTCTTTATTCATATTTAGTTCAAGCCTTATTTTTTCTAGTTAAAAATCCATACTTTCATTTTGCTATTTTATTTGAAAATTAGCTATAATTTTATGACAAGCTACATGACACTAAAAATTAGATTTCCCTCACACTCTACCATGTCACAGTTTCCAAATAATATTTGTCTTCTTTCTACCCAGTTAGGCTCTTCTACATAATTCCACTTATGCAAGTGATTTCATTATTATTTCAATTTTCTGAGCTTAAAAATGTATTTTTTCTTTACACTTCATTCCTTCCTTTTCCTAAGAAGTCTTCTCAGATCTTCTCCACAATGTCTTAAGTTTCTCCTTTAATCTCCAATCTTCTGCTGCTCATCACAGTAAAGAGCTGGAATAGCCCATAAAACTCTGTTTATTGCTTGAATAGATATAACATTTCTTTGAACAAATATAACATTACTCTTTTGTGCAAACATCTACCATTTAATCTGATTCCATTTATTTTTAGTTGTTTTACCTTACCCATTTCTAATATGAACTCTCCACTTCAGCTCAATTTGAGATCCTCTTTATTTTCCTCTACCTTCTCGCTGCTTATATCAACCTCTCTGCTGGGAGTCAGTGCGCATGATGAGCTTGGTCTTTGCTGGGTCCCTGAGAACATGGGACCACCTCCAGGACTGTGGTTGAACTGGGCTGGTGCCTGGTTATGGGACCGCTTCTGGGTCTGCAGATCTCATACCTGTTACCAGGAGTGCAAATGGATTTGGGTCCCACTAGGTTCCTGAGCCGCCTCCTGCCAGGTCCAAGGGTAGGTTCTTTATGGGTGGGTTCTTGGGTGGACAGAGCTGCCTCTGGATTATGGAAGAGTGAGGCTGGGCCAGGTCACAGAGCTGCTTCAGTGTCCATAGTCAGTGTCCACATACCAAGAGCACCAACAGGCATGGGTGCTCCTGGGTCCTTTGGTGGATAGGGTTAGTGGTGGGACTAGACAAGCAGGGCTGGAGCTGAGTTCACAGGAGTCAGGGGTACTTCCAGGTCCACAGCTGGACTACATCACTGGCATCAGGCCTGATACCTGGGTCCAGACATGCCTTATCAAAGTGGCTCTTCTCAGTCTTGGCTTCCATTGGGGTTTCCCAACCTCCTACCTGGATCCCAAGGTTTCCCCAAAAGGCATATTTGTTCATGGGTGACTGCCAAATTATATTTCTGTGAGAGGATGAGGATGGTAGAACTTTCTATCCCACCTATTTGCTGACATCATTCTCTCTGAATAACTTCAAATATAGCAGTGTACTAGTTTTAACTAATAAAGTTTTTATGAGTGAAAATTATATTTTTAAAATATTGACCACCACCCAAAGTCAAGTCTCCTTCCATCACCATTTATCCTCCCTTTATCCTCTCTTACCTCCCCGAAACCCCTTTCCCTCTGATAATCACCATATTGTTGTCTGTCTATGAGTTTATTGTTGTTGTTGTTGTTGTTTTTGCTTAATCCCTTCACCTTTTTCACCCAGCCCTCCAATCTCCCTTCCCTCTGACAACTGTCAACCTGTTTACTGTATCTATAAGTCTGTTTTTTTAGTTTAATTTCACACATATACAGTATACAGTTGATGAATTATATAGCATTTTATACTTGAAACCTATATAATTTTATTAACCAGTGTCATCCTAATAAATTAAAATAAAAAATAAAAGAGATTTGGCCACTTAATTATAGCTTCATATTTGCAGCTTATACTTTCTCTCCTATAGTATAAGAGACAACAGAAAGAGTAGAAAGTGTCTTAAGTTTGGAGGCTGGACATATGTTTTCTTTCATTTCCAAAATGTGTACATACTAGTACTTTTTCTTCCACTTCTTCCTTCTACCTTCTAGTCTCTTTCTTTCCTATGAGCAGAGTAGAAGGTGGGGATTGGAAAGAAAATTACTTATTTGAACTGGAGAGGCTGTGCTTCAATGGGACACAATTAGACCAGCCTTCACCTGGCTCCATCATGCATCAGCTGCATGATGCTAGGAACTTTCGAACCAACTTGAAGCTCACATGTTCTCTTCTATTATTCTAAGTATAATATGGTCTACATAGCAGGATTGTAATGAGGACTAGAATAAGGGCATCTAGTAGGTATGCCCAAGTATTCTAGTTATAATAATAGTGGTGATGATTATTAGCCTGGATTATAAAATTCTAGATTGAATTAGGAAAAGTTGAGGATTGTGACTTTTCAGATTGTGACTTTTCAAGAAGGGCATTGATGAGCTCCAATATCACATGGGCTATCACCAGAATTTGGGGTGAAAGTACAATACAGAATTTCTTTGGCTTAAAAACTCCTTCATCTCCATTTCTGAACCTTTTCTTCCTCTTGCTTTCTTACCCGCTTTAGTTGTACTCACTATTATCATGGCTAATTAAGTTCATATTCCCTTTAAGACTCTATTATTTCATCCTCCAAATTTATTTATCCCTTTACTACCTAAATTAGAATTCTCTTTTCCTGAATAGTATTGCATAGCAATATACCATCAAAGTAAAGAGTAAAGTGAAACTTATTTTTTTCTGTAAGAGAATGCATATTTTAAAAGTAGAACTGCATAATTTATATAAATTGCTAATTGGTATATAAGTTTTAGAAATGTCTTAGACTTTATTTTCTCTCCTGGATTCATTACTTTCTTTCCATTATTTCAGTAGACTTATGTATCTGTTATTAAGGGGAAAAAATCGTACAGCCTACAATTAGATCAGAAATTTTCGTTTGCTTCTGACATTGTTTTCAAAGTTTTCTTCTTGGTTCAAATGCTATGTTTCATAGATTTTGGTCATTCTTATAACAGCCTATGATTTTTCTCCTGTTTTCTGATTTATTATAAAAATTCACCATGGTGGTCTAAGTATTCATATTGCCTTGAACAAATTCCTTTTTACTAGAATTCCAAAGATTTTTTTAGTACCTAGTTTCCAATTTACCTGTTTAACTCTGAAATTTATGAGGTTTGGTATTAGGTGCAGTTCATTTTTTTTCATATGGTTAGCAATTTTAAAAGAATATGCGATCTTTTAAAATTAAAGAAGTAAAAGCAGTGAAGACTGCAAAGCTCATAAAATCAGTTCATTCTTTTTCTATATTAGTATTATGAATAAAATGATTATCTTCTCAAAGAATATTTCTTTTTTTTATCTTCACCCAAGGATATTTTTCCATTGATTTTTAGAGAGAGTAGAAGAGAGAGGAAAGACAGAGAGAAATATTGATGTGAGAGAAACACATCGATTGGTTGCCTCCTGCATGAGCCCCTACCAGGGCCTGGGCCAGAGAGAAGCCTGCAACTGAGGTATGCGCCCACAATCAGAATTGAACCCGGGACCCTTCAGTCTGCAGGCCAATGCTCTATCCACTGAGCCAAACTGGCTAGGGCAGAATATTTCTTTTTAAACAGGTGAAGAAGTCATATGGATTGGATATTACAATTTAGTGTACAACCTGGTGAAAATGTCATGGGAACTTCGAGGAGATGAGGAACAGGATGGACTTAGAAACGTTATATGGCAAACATTACAGAAAACAAAGAATCATGAAAAAGATGAGCGGATCCATAATGCACTAAATATAGCTGAGGTAAGATAAACACTGGGAGTAAATGGGTATTTCTATCTAAGGAGAAAGGAATGTCCACATTCAGTGAGCATCAGTGACACAGTTGAGAACATGATTTTTAAATTTTAATGCTGAACTATTTTTAGTTAAAGATAAGAGGGTAGGCAATCTTCTGATTAAATAGCTTGAAGAGAGGAGTTGATTTTTAGGAAGAGTAATTGTGCTACTTTGGGCTTGTGCCTTTGAGAAACATTTACCATGCATTCCAATTGCAAAGGTTAACCAGGGTCTGTGCCTAATTTTCCAGCTTCCTTATTAGTAGTGAATTAATCCACTCTCAAAAGAGTCTCCATTTGGATAATAAATTATTTAGTTTTCTTATTTATATGTATGTATTTTTTCTTTCCAGCATTAGACAATATAAATTGCAAATCTGGACTCACTAACAATAAGTTAATTTTCTTTAAAGTTAAAAATGTATTGTACAAGTTCTTGTTTTTTTCTAGTTCTATTTGAATGACATCAAAGAAAATCATTATGAAATGAGATATCTATTTTTCATAAAATACAAATATTATTTTCTAGTGATGCTTTATTCATATGGTAGCCTATATTTCAAAACTATGCCAAACAATATTTTTCTTCTCTGTGTCTTATTTTGAGCCAGGGTAATTTGTTTGTTATCTTTACACACACTTTTCTCCCCAATATCACTAAATATTTCTGGTTCTTTCTAGCTTTCACAGATGCAATTAATCTAATGCTCTTAATGCTCTGTTTTCTAATAATAATTATGGGTATGAATTAATGTTGAATGAGAAGAACAAATAAGAAATCCACTCTGCCTATTGATCATCAAAGCATATGGATGGGTTGTTGGCTATACAGAGTAGCTACATTCTAGATTCTTAGCAGAAAACAAAATATTCAACTCTGATTTTTAATCATAAATCTGATTTGGAATATGGAAGACTGTGGGGACCCTGTTTAGAGTGCACCAGATGGTCAAGGCCACTCTAAGCCTGAGACTCATAATCAGAATGCTCAAGGCTAAGATACCATACACAGATCCAAGGACTATGTGCAGGTGTACAGCGATCTCTTCTGTAGCCAAAATGAATGATGTTACTATTGGCATGTGGCCTTCTCTGTCTAAGGAGTATAATACCTGTCATTGACCAGCCAAAGGGAGGAGAAGAGAGCTCAGATGAAGCTGGAGAGCTGGAGCTAGGAGAGAAGCTCAGAGGTAGTTACTATGTGAGGCTACAGAGAGCAGCCAGTGTGCTGGGCACGAGAGACAGGAGAAGCTGCTGAGCCAAAGAGGCTAGAGAAGCTGCTGAGGCAGAGAGTTTAGGTGCCACTATGATGTGAGGTGGTGAGTCTAGGGGGCAGCATGCAGCTGCTCAGATAATAGCTGTGGGTACAGAGACTAATGCTGCTTTGTGTGAAAGATGTACAATGTTAACCAGCCGGTATCTGGCCACCAGCCTGTACAGGACTTGCTGTGAAGGAGTTGTTTTGTCTGACGACTATATGGCCTCTGCAATAAAGACTCATTCTTATATACCCACAGCCTCTCATGGCTTCTCTGTCTAAGATCCAGCATCCTAGGAGTTCCAGCCCCAGGCAGGAACTTGGACTAGGTTCCCTACAGTTAGTACAGTGGGCAGGGTTTGAGCAGAGGATAAAGGAGGAACTTGGACTAGGTTCCCTACAGTTAGTACAGGGGGCAGGGTTTTAGAGGACCTGCCCTAGTGTAGTTGGGAAGTATTTAGAGGAATATATGGACTCAGAGCAACTCAGAGCAGAAGTGCTGAGCAGTGCTCTAGCTGTGCTCTGACAGACTATCCGTTTTTTCCCCTCTAGATTTTAAAATATTTTTTTTTCATGGAAAAAGATCATCAGAGAGCCTTCTACTTGAACTACATTGTTTTGGATTTCATGGACTTTCCTTTATGCAACTGTGCTTCAGCTTGTCCCTTGGTTTTGAATTGAGGAGCACAGAAAGAAATAGAAATAAAGACAGTTATTGTACCTATTACAGAGATGACCACGATATCATCCAGTATCACCTTTTTAGGATTTAGGAAATAAATCCTCCTTAGTTTCATGTACTCTTCAAACCTTATTACTGATTTTGTATAAGCGATTTGCTGGAGCTTAAAAAAATGATTCAAAGTTTTGACCAGTTTCTAACAGAAATAGAGAACGCTATGTATTCATTTCACTCAGTGTTACTGTTTTCTTTTTGCCTGTTTTTCTGTTTTCATGACATTTTCAATTATTTATATTATTTCCTGCTTTTTAAAAATCTATTTTTATATGCCACTTCACATCTCAAATGGATTATTCTGTAAGTAAATAAACCAACTCAAATTTGTCATTTCCACAATTAGGATTCTATTTATATGGATATTTCCAGGGCTAATAATTTGGTATAAGGTAGTCTTTTCTTCTTCAAAATTTTAGTAAATATCTATAGATAACTACATTTGATATTCATAAGTCAGTTAATCAGACATAGCAAATATTTTTTAGAAGCTAGATCCAAGTAAAGCTGTTGCAGCTCAGGAAGTTGAAGATGGAAATGAACACTGGTGGGTGGGCAAGGGATGGGGCACAGAGGTAGAGCCCACATTACTGGGTGAGGGACTGCTTAAGGTTGTGGAACAGGAAGAAGAGTCTAAGGAAGATTCATGGGCCTGTTCTGGCTGGAGGGCTCCACCTACTCCCTGAAGAACTGCCCTTGAGCTCCATTACTCTATCCAGTTGCAGAAATGAATTTAATGTCAGCTACATTGAGAGTGGTGATCAGTTCTTGGCTTGGTGCTTTGGGTAGCCAAGGTCAAAAGTAGGAAAAACACCCTTTACCGATTGTGTGTGTGTCTGTGCAGGGCAGGGGGCTCTGTCCCCTGAAACAATGAGCTTCCTCGGCAGACTGAGCATTTAACTAGTGATTGTCTGCAACATCCATGTGGTTTTGGCTGGGATGGGTCTAAACCTGTTGGAGAAATATCGAGCAACTAACTAGTCAGCTGGAAAGAATTAATTCCTATGTCATATCCTTGTCTCTAGGCCACAAGTCTACAAAATTGCTAAGTGGCAGAGTTTTCTGAATCCTTGCCTTTGGGTCCCTGCAATCACAGAAGCCGGTTAATATTGACTTCCATCTAATTACTTCAGTATTTCGTTGGCAGAGCTGTTCTTTTTATATTTTTAATTTTCCTAGTTACCTTATGCCCTAAGGGAATGCTAATTAATAGAAAAGTCCAGGCTTTCCCAGATTCAAGGTTACATTCTTTCTCCTCACCCCACTCCATGTGTGTTGTGAGAATTGCACAGCAGATTCATCACTCAAATTTTATGTGCCTTCGTTCCCTTAGCTGTAAAGTGGGCATAATTCTATGAACTCTATTATTCCCTTTATAGATATAGAGTAATTGATTGGCTGCCTCCTGTACACCCCCTACTGGTGATCGAGCCCACAACCCGGGCATGTGCCCTTGACTGGAATTGAACCATGACCTCCTGGTTCATAGGTCAACGTTCAACCACTGAGCAACACTGGCTGGGCTCTTACTCATTTTTTATTTTCTAGTGACCATCCCAGTGCCTGACACTTAGTAGGTATTCAGTAAGTGTTTGCCAAGACGCTTTCAATAATCACCAATGGAGCATGTGAGGAGAAAGATTAAAAGAAAAAAGTTGAGTTACCTGCATCTGATGACAAGAACTCAAGCACAGAACAGGGTGGGCTAAGTGGGGTGGCAGTGAGGGTCTACACAGTCCTGACTCCTGGGTTTCTTCTTTCAAACCCTAGTAAATTCAGTCAACTGTAACATGAGGTATAGTATGAGCTTTGGGTTATAAAGACTGAGTTTAAATTTCAGATTCTTTTAAGCACTTTAATAAGGAAGTAAAATATTCTCTGTGTGTCTGTACATGTGTGTGTGTGATTATTTATATACTCTTTCTCCTCTACAACTGTGAATTCTGTTGTATCTCACACATATTGGTTGAATGAATAAATAAATACATTATAAGTTCATTTTATAACCATTGGTAAGGTGTGCATCTATCTCGTAGATAGTCTCTCTCTGTCTTTTCATGTATAAAATGGGGTGGTAATTCCTTAGCCAAATTCCTAAGAGCAATTCTTGATTCTCCTCTCTCATAGCTCATAGTCAACCTATGAACAAGCTCTAAAAATCCCAGCTCCAATTTCATCTCCATCCCTCCATCTTCACTATCATCATATCCCAGCTGAGTCTTTTCATCCTCTGGACAGCTGCGAAGCTTCCTAATTCATTTTCTTACTTCCATTCTTGCTTATTATATCTATTCACTGAAGAGCAGCAAGATTGATTCTGTAAAATATAAATCAAAATATAGCACTATCTTGCTTACAACCCTCTAATGCTCTAGCATTGAACTTGGAATGGAATAAAAATTCCTGATCTTGGTTTACTCAGCTCCTACTAATACCTTCAGCCTTGTCTCCTCTCATTCTCAACTCCCTAGCCACACTGGCTTTTTTTCCTGTTTTTTGAACCCACCATGCTTATACTCAACTTAAGACCTTTGTCCTAGACGTGACCTCTGACTGGAATGTCCTGATTTTCACATGGTTGTCTCTTGTCATTCAGATTTCGCCCTGAATGGCACATCAGAGACACCTTCCACAGTAACCTGATCTAAAGCAACACGTTCTATCTTTATCACACATTTTAGTGATCTTCAGAGATCTGTTCATAGCCTTGTATTTTTATTTTATTTATTTATTCTCTGTTGTCTTTCTCTCTTGCCAGAATGTAATTTCATGGATTAAAAAGTAGCTTGTGTAATTTATGGTGATGTCCACAGTATTTAAATCAGTTCTAATGATCCAGCAACCTGTCGTAAATAAATAGAAAAGTACCTACATCATAGTGCAGTTTTGACAATTCAATGAGATAATTTATGTAAAGCACTTAGCCCAGTGTCTGACACATAAATAACATGCCATAATGTAGTTTTTCTAA